TCCTTCGATCGTTGCGAGGTAGGTTGCGCCTCGGGGCGTTCCTTCTGTCTTCGAGGTATGGTTGGTACCTTTCTTTGTTTTGTATCGACTCTTTTACCAGGAGTCTGTTTGGGTATACTGAGCCCGAAGGGGCTCCCAGTTGGTTATCCTTGGCTCTAATCTTCGATTGGTACCGGTTGTGGACGTCCGACCAGGTCACAGCCGGATACTCGATTAGGTTTTGCTTCAGCTGTTTCGAGGCCACTGAGCTTTGTTCATTAAGGCCTTGGGTGAAGGCCTGTACGTCCCAGTCATTGGAGACTGGCGGCAGCTCCATCTGTTCCATCTGGAAGCGAGACATGAATTCCCGCAGCATCTCGTTCTCTCTCTGCTTAATTCTAAAAACATCAGATTTCCTTGTTGCCACCTTGATGGCTCCAACATGTTCCTTTATGAAGGAGTCTGCCAATATGGCGAATGAATCTATGGAGTTGGGAGCCAAGTTGTGGTGCTACATCATGGCCCCTTTCAAAAGTGTTTCTCCGAATTTTTTCAGCAATACGGACTCGATCTCATCATTTTGTATATCGTTACCTTTTGCTGCGTAGGTATAGGCAGTAACATGTTCGTTGGGATCGGTGGTACCGTTGTACTTAGGGAGTTCCTGCATTCTGAACTTTTTAGGAATGGTCTTTGGGGCCGCTTTCTCTGGGAGCGGCCTTTGTATGAACTTCTTCGAATCCAAACCTTTTAGGACCGGGGGTGCTCCCGTGATTTGATCCACCCTAGAATTGTAGGTCTCGACCTTTTTATCGTTGGTTGAAATCATCTTCTCACCTGACTCGATCCTTTTGGTGAGGTCCTCGAGCATCTTTGCTATGGAGGGGTCAGCTACTGACCCGTTATTGCTTGACCTCTCGGGTACTTGCTCGGCGGGGGGAGCTATCTCCGGTGCTGCTGTGTAGGGGGTTCTCGGATGGCTTTGCAATTGAGCATTGGCTAGTTGTTGTGCTTGTAACAAATCAAAAATAAAATGAAGACTAATTTCTTGTTCTTCCCGGGCCGGGGTTCTTTGGGCTTCTTGTTGGTCGTTGTGTCGTATGCTCCTGTTGGTGTGAGAAGTTTCGTCGACTTGCTGTGCGTCCTGTGAGTCCGCGTCCGCTGGAACCGGTCCAGACACGTTATCGGGATTTTGTAGTGGTGCTCCGACGACTGGGACAACCACACCATTTTCCCCATGATTTTCGAGGTTGTCGTTTTCGACTCCGTTTACCAAGCCAGATATTTTAACCTGAAATCAAAGGATCTTGGACAAAAAAAGTGTGAAAGATAATGTGTGTTTGTGTGAAGAAACTAGCAAGAAAATAATCACTATTATTTTTAGCCCCACGGTGGGCGCCAAGCTGTTTACCGTAAAAATGGTAACAACAATTAAATTTGTAAATGAAATTCTAAAAATACGTGATCTATTCTCAAGCTAGTTGTTAGAGCAGTTGATGTAAATAATATTAAGTTTAATGATGAAATGCAAGCTTAAACGAGGTAGTAATCAAACCGAGGGGCATGTTGCTCGAGTGAGGGGCTGATCGAGGGGGACCCCAGGGTCCAGGTTTGGGTCGAGCTCGCGGTATGGGGGGCTGCTGAGAATGGGATAACAATTAAGGATACGATTAAGCAAGCCTCTATACGACCAATATTGAGCAATATAGTGAAGAACAGGTAAGAGGATGATAAAAATTAAAGCGGTCTCGGGCCAATATTGTGATGAACAAAGAACAAACAAGAAGGTAACCGAAAATAAATGGCTTCGAGCCGATAGAGATAAGCAAATTAGAGAGGTGAAAGAGAGAGAAGATATTATTGCACTTTTGTGGAATGGTTGGAGCTCTGGTTTACAAGGCGTTAATGACCCCTCTTTTATAGAAAGGGGAAGCCCAAACTTAGTACAAAATACGTTGTGTGATAAAAGAGAGTGGGATGTGACAGCCGGTCAGCTCTATGTCGGGTGTGAGCTGACGTCTGGCCACTCAAATAGACTAGATCGATCCCGGTTGCATTTTTCGAGAGATCCTTGCATTTGTTGGGGCTTTGGCCAACATTATCCTCGGCAGAGCATCGACAAAACTTTGAGGGAAGCGACTGGCTCAAGATCCCGTGCTTCCGGGGCCACCCTTCAAAGTATTATGTCAAGGGGAAATCGGCCCCCTAGATTTCACCGCACATACTCCCGCATGCAACAAACAATATCATTTATTAGAAAATATTTCCTCAAGCCTCTAACGACCTTAACGGTCATTTTGAGCATTGACATTCCATTCGGTAGTTTGAGGTCTTGAAAGACTTCATATGATATGTTGCACCCTATTTTGTACTAGCCAAAACATGATTCAACTTGTGGTTTCTCTGTTGTTGATGAAAGATAGTCGCCACTTATTATTTAAAGATATACCAGGGTACTTATATAATTACTAAAGGTCATATTCTTTATTAGTTTGCTAACCGGTGAGATTATGGATAAGGGTTCTTGTTCTTCTAAGGGTAAGGTGTTAGGACCCCATTAAAATCTACCTAAGGTAGCTCTATAGGACTTAGACTAGATTTAGGACTAATTATTTGGATTATGCTTAACTAGTTTTAAGAGAGATACGACTTACTATATATTAGGGCATAGTAGTTACAAAGGAGGTATGTAGTTTAAAAAGACATGAATTTATAGAGGTGTCTTGAAAAATAACGTTAGTGTATATATGCTTGAAAAGAGCTTAAAAATATATGATGTTTGTATTTAGGAAAATATGTGAAAAGAAAAGCTAAGTTAAAATACTTTGTTCTTAAAGCATGGAAGTTTATATTACTCTAATGAGATGAATGTGTTATGAAAGTAAGCCTAAGATATACCTTGGATTGTAGATATTAGACTTGAAGGGATCCGTTTGAAAATCTTTGTTTGGGGCAGCAACACCTTGATTTTTTGAAAAGAATTGATTTCCTTTTAGAAGGTCAAGCTTGCGATTCAGTTCTGGTTTAGAGGTTTAATTTGGCCTTATTGAGGTAAATGTCTTGCCTAGCTTTCCTAGCTTAAGTTGAGAAATTGTTTCTTAATAATTGATATCATTTGCTACATGCAGGGATAATGTATATATGAGGTAACAAACGCATATACATGTGCCTTGGGTATTCATGCTCGGGGTGGATTCTAGATTACTCTATGCCTTGTTTGGCTGTGTGTTCTACTTGATTCTATGTGTTACTCAATTGATTGATTACCTGAGTACAATAAATCATGATAGAGTAATGTTGAGTCTATTAGAACCTTATCTGATGAGCAAATCTTGGGATTTGTGTTATGCTTGCCTCGGACGTAGATATACACATGTTATGAACACACATCTGTACTTGTTCTTGTGTCATTGCTTGATTGAGACGTGCGCACTCTATGACACACATGTGATCCCTTTGTGTGAATACTTGAACTTTTTTGCTTTAATTGATTTATCCCAGAGTCATGCCTTATATGTTGAACACCCATCCATATTTTATCCCAGAGTCATGCCATATTTTAATTGATTTGTCATGTACTTGTGCATCTTGTTCATAAAATTATGAGCTTATATCTTTGAAGGAAATTTGGCATATTACTTTGTGTAATTATGGCACATGTGGACATGTTGGGTGGATTGACTGGGTGTTGGCACGAGTTCTTTGCCGTGCGATTGTGATTATTGTTATGCGCATGGGGCGAAATAAGGTTGGCATGTCTCAGGCTTGCACATGTGGCAAAATAAGGATGGTGATATGCGCATGTGGTGAAATAAGGGTGGCATATTGCATATGAGGTGAAAGAAGGGTGACATTATTGATGATGTTATGTGATAGTTTAAGGGTGATTTTCTTGATGATGTTTATGTGGTGGTACACGGACGACATTTTTGATTATGCATGTGAATTCTTTATGTTTGTCATGCATTTACCTGATTTTTGCATTGCATTTAACATGCTAATTTATGCCTCTATTGTATTTGATGATTTGGTTGTCAAGATGGATTTTTCCTTACGTTGTATTGTTATATCATGTTTGTGGAGTTGTCGATAGCATATTGAATTGATGTGATAAGGAAGTTGTCGTCATACATTGATATATTTGATTCTTATAAGGTTCTCATGAATACATTATTTGGCAATTAATATAGAATTGGGCCATTGTTATGCATCGACGCCCCATGATTATGTTTTAGCATTTAGGCACACGCTATTTGGTGTAAGTCTCTTATTGTGCGGGACTGATACAAGTTGTAATTTCATGATCAATATAACTAGAAAAACTGATTTATTATCCTCATTGTGCACTCTTACTATTTGATATCTGGTATTTTGTGGCTACTTCCTTAGATTGTTCTCTATGTTATATATGTTATTGAGCTACATAGGTTATGTGAGTATATTTTGGACGAAAACCTCGTCACTACTTTTCTGAGGTTTATCAAGATACTTATTGAGTACATGAGTTCGGTTGTACTCATACTACACTTTTAAACCTCGCGTGCAGATTTTGGAGCTGAGTAGTCGTGGAAGACGAAGCCTTGCATCGGAGACGTACCAACATTCCAGATTCAAGCTACCCCTTGTTCATGGTAGTTTAGGACTTCTTTTATACTTATGTAAACTTCAAATAAATGTTGTATTTATTCTTTTTATTAGCTTCGTACATCTAAATCATAATAGCTCGTGACTTGTATTACCAGTCCTTGGGGCAGTTGTATTGAATTCTTTTGCAGTTTTAGTAATAATATTGATGATTTCTCATTATTGTAGTGACTTATATTGTTTGGCTTACCTAGCGGGTTGAGTTAGGTGCCATCATGACTTAGTGAAATTTTGGGTCATGACAAAACCAAAGCTAGGCAAGACACTAACTCATTCCAGAATAAGTTCAACAATCCGATACCGCTTTTCCTTAGAAATTTCCCTCAAGACGATCAAAATCCAATTATATATTTTCTAAAGAAGTGAAATAATGCAAAAGAAAATATCTCCAATTAATAAATGTTCAATCTTTGATGAAATATCAAAAGTCAACAAAAAGTTAATCCGAGCCTACATGGTCTAAATCCGAAACCAAGACAAAATCCAGATGATCCATTCTCCTAAGTCTAAATATATATTAGTATATCCGACCTCAAATTGAGGTCCAAATTATCAAAATTAGCTCACTTAAGTTCAAACCGAAAACCCAAGTTCTCCATATTAAAAATCCTAGATTTAGGGTGAAAATGTATGGAAAAATTATAGAAATAAATCAAAATCAAGTTAAAATTACTAACCTTAGAAGTAAGAACTCTTTAAAAGTTGGCTCTACTCAAAGTCTAGATCGCAAAAATGAAAGAAAATAGGATAAAACTCGAAGTCACTTAGCCTTACCAGCCCTCAAATGTTGTAGGTGCGAGAAAAGCCTTGTAGAAGCTATCGCAGGTACGACAACACCTTCGCAAATGTGGCCCCTGCATCCGCGACAAAAGACCTGGAGATGCGATCATCCCAGATGCAGCTCCGCACCTGCACAACTTACCATCGCAGATGCGACAAGTCGCAGGCTCCCCTTACTCGTAGATGCGAGCCAGTCTTCTGCAAAATCGGCCTCGCACTTGCGCACCTGATAATCGCAGGTGCGATATGAGCAGTACAGTAACAATAAATCACATCCAAAAAAGCCCGAAACCAATCCGAAACTCATGCGAACCCCTCGGGACCCCATCCAATTATCCTAAGAAATTTATATACCTAACAGGAACTTGTCTGAAGGCTCAAAGCACAAAAAATAACATCAAACAAGGATTCAAGCATCAATCCAAGAATTTCAAAGGTTATAGCGTTCAAATTTCTAACTTTCGACAAGAAGCACAAAATTGACAGGTCATCTGAGATCCAAACCAAACATACGTATAAGACCAAAACCCTCATACAAAGCTAATGTAACTATCAAATCACCAATCCAAGGTTGTTTACTCAAAAGTCAACCATTGGTTAACTCCAACAACTTAAAGTTTCCGAAATACGAATTCTTCTTCCAAAATTCTCCCAAACCTCTCGGTAATCAAAACCATCCACAGATGCAAGTGATAAAACATTAAATGTACCTACTCAATGTCTCGAATCACGAAACGGAATGTTAGAACTCAAAACGACCGATCGGGTCATTACAAGTCAGATGGGAATGTGTTAGGACTCGATAACAGGGACTTGTTCAAGCTCAATGTCTGACCTGATGTACCAATGAGGATGTCGTTGAAGTGGTTGAAAGCTAATTCTTGTACATTCTCAACTGTGATTGAGTCAAACTCCCTTTATGCTGCTCACTTCACTCTCCATCTCCCACTGTTAATCTCAGTTGTCACAGGCCACAAGATGAAAACCTATTTTCATTTTACAAGAACAGTGAATTATTCACCTCTTTAGTGACTTGGATCACATTATCTACAACTTTTGATCGCTTGTCCTCCAGCTATGTTGCTTGCTGTGGGTGTTAGTCCATGGAGATGGTTTACGCTCATATCAATTTACACAACTCTCTAAATTGGACTAAGAAATAAGACTTTCCCAGTCAGAACTCTCCTTCATGAGTTACTGAAGAGAATGCAATCAGATCAGTAAAGTAATTTTATTCAAGCTGATCAGTTCAGTTGGTCATTTACAGGCAAAATATTACTTCTAGGTAGGAACTTTGAAATGGCTACTACCCTAGATAGAATTTACTAAACTATACGTACAGCTATTCCCTTCTTTTAAATGGAAAATATATGTAAAGAAACAAAGAGATGAGAAGAAAAGAAAGGAAAACCTTCGGATGAACTAAATTATATTCACACTATGGGAAACAAGCCTATGAAAAAAAGAGTATAGGATGTCCCAGATCAAAAATACAAGGGAAAATCACTAAAGAAAATTTCAGCGACAATATAGATTTATACTACATTAAACACATTTTGTTGTAGCCAAGCTTTTGGTCGCTTGAGTATATGATGTTCATCCCTCAGACATGATCACAGTCTAGTTTAGTGGCTTATCTGTGTTACATACTTTCTTTAGCACGATGCAGACTTATTTGTTGTATCTCTTCTCTTCCCAAGTTGTATTCTAGCAGTTTCTCCTATGGAATAAGACAAGAAGCATTTATTACTCCTTGTCCGAACCCTTTAAGATAATAGATAAACACTAATATGATTAAGGCTATTAAATGTCTTTCTTAAAGGGTGTGCAAGAATGTTAATATAGACCTAGCTCGATTACCTGAGGTCGTATCGATGTTAACTCACCTACTGTCAAGCTTGGTAGCAAGTTATTTGCAGAAGCTTCAGGTCTTACTCTCCCGTTTCAAGCAGAATCTCAGGATGTATAGCAGCGTTGTTAACATTTAGAACTCTCTGTAGCTTTCTGTGGTCAAATATTTCCACTTGTACTGAGAACATTGAACTTACAGGCCGATGATCTGATAGTCTTAGTTCTGCTCGCTTGTAGAGGAGCTGTTTTATACCATTTCCAAACCAGAGTATACGATCACACCTGCATGATGCGAAGAAATAATCGTCAGTTCAATTATCCACCAACTGGGAAAAAAAGTAGTCAGTTCAATGTTCATCATTAGCTAAAGTTGTTCATTCTTTTCACTTACCATGCTGGTGATCTCTTCTTTTCCCCTTCTCTTGGAATTTCTCCATTGTATCTATCACTGTTGATTTCATACTTGTAAGTTGGAGCAAAGTTAATCAACCCTTCCTTCCAACCAGCAAAGACATGTCCATTTCGGAGTTCTTTGCTTAACTGTCCATATGATGAAATACTGTTTGTTACTGCAACTTTGCATAAAAATCAAACTATCCATAGTATGACTACTACCGCCAACCACAAGTTAAAGGTTAATCCCTCTCAACAAAATTGAATCATCTAACCTTTAAGATTTCCCTTCTGAAAATGATTCAGTTGGTTTTAATGATTTTTATTTACGACTAGACTCACCTGATCACTATTGAGAAGTTCATTCCATTGCTTATTGGCGATAAGCTTCCGTACTTCAGTATCTACCATACTGATTCGATAATTTAAATCTCCAAACCAGAATATCTGACTGTAGATATAAAAGAAAGGTCATATGTATTAATATAACCTCTTAACAGTTTGAAATGGTAAATGCAACTTTCATTACAGCTCTAGTTTTATTTTTTTCTAAATAACAGTAGTTTTGGATATTCAATATGAATATTTTTTGTGTAACAATTAAGCCAGTCTGCTAGTGGTATTGTCTGCTCTGGGCCTACGCCCTCACGATTTAAAACGTGTCACTAGGGTCTAAGACTTGTTAACTTATATACCTAGCATCTCTCTTGTGTTTTGTCGATGTGAGACTCTATCTAAAGTCTAGGGTGTTACATACACCCCCTCTTATGGACTCAGCGTCCTCGCTGAGATTTGCCCCTCCTCATGAAATTCGCCTAGACTTGCCACTGAGGTTTGCCCCGCCTAACTGGGATTTGTCTAAACTTAGTTGAGCTCAGACCCACTATCGGCAAGGCTGACACAAGAGTGGCTCCAATACCATCTGTAACAAGCCAACCCACTAGTGATATTGTCCGCTTTGGACCTAGGTATCAGAGTCACTCTTGTGTCAGACTTGCCGATAGCGAGTCACAGTTCAACTGAATTGCGGCAAATCCCAGTTAGGCGGGGCAAACCTTAGTGCTGAGCCTAGGTGATTGAGTCCATAAGAGGGAGTATATGTAGCACCCCACACTTTAGACAGAGTCCCACATTGGGTATATAAGTTAACAAACCATAGACCCTACTGACGCATTTTAAACCTGTAAGGGCCTAGGCCCAGAGCGAACAATATCATTAGCGGGCTGGGCTGTTACATCTTGTCCCATTTTTCCAAAATATTGCATCTAATTAGCTCAATAGTTTTTGAGCTTTGACAATTCAGAATTTTTTTTTTTTTTTTTTTCTTCAGATAGCTAACTCGTACACGGACAAGCAATTTTGGTACTTCATAGAGGCAATTAGTAGTTGCCGAATTAACATCTCTAAAGAGGAAATACTGAAATGGTCATTGATTCACTCTAAAATTATTATCAGCAAATTTGGAACATAATCACTTGTACATTCTTGTGAATAGAATAACCAAAAACTTATCTGATTTTATGTCTTTTTTCTTCTGTGCGTGCATGATAAAATTAAAGCTCATGTTATATCAGTAAGCATGAAAACTGTCTTCAAAATTTTTGTATTCAAACAGTCAACTCTTCCAACAGTGCGCAAGTACAAATAAAACTGCTCTTTCTTCTGTGAAGAGAAGAGCCATGTGTCTATATAAGAAATAATATATACCCGAGAAAATGATGTCAACTTGAATACTTACTCATGAGATGGAATTGTTTGTGGTTCATCTGCATCTGTGTCAAATATGGATGAGAAACGAGTACGCCTCATGATTTCATTGACATCAGTGTTACGCCTTTGCTCAGCTCCATCCTTTTGACCAGATGACAAATGAGAACAAACAAAGCATAGCCATGACTGGAAAAGAGACATGCTCACAGAAACAGATCCCTGTATAGCACCATGATTAGTCAGTTGTTATTTGTATTCAAAGAGGATAGCTTTGATTGGATTATGAATCATTTAGATTTATCAATTTCAACAAGTGTCAACAGATATCTGTTGCTCTTGTTTTTTCGCCCCTGGAAATATTAACTTCCCAAGAGGTCGGAAAAAGAGACAGGGGGGAAGCTAAAAAACTAAGAGCCGGATTGCCTTAGCTGATTGAAATCGTTGTTGAAAAGGATCTACCAAACATCAATTTCTTCTATAAAGTTAATAGTACTTTCTAACGATTATGCTGATATGTGTGAATAACAAAATCATGCTGATATGTGTGATACAATGAATATGTGTAGACTGAAAGAAGAAGTTATACCTTATTGCCCATGTACCCCATTAGTCCAATACCAACAGAAGAGACTTGCAAGTTGTTTATGTGCCTCCTCAATCTTCTACGTACCCAAACTGATACATATATACCAACCATCTGCTTGCTGACAATACGAACATACATTGGACGTGACTTCACTGCATGATTTAGAAGTGAACTTTCTTCTTTGTTGACCTCTGGAAATTCTTCAAACAAGTCATTTTCCTCGTCAGGAGAGCCATCAGAAAGAGAATCAACAAGTACAGGTACATCTTGTTGATCCATCCACATTAATCCTAAGTTTCCTGAGCTTTGGTGCACCCTCTTTAACCCTCTGCCATCAAAAGCAAGAGGGTTGACTATGCTACCAAAACCAACTGTCGCGCAACTACTCAAGACTCTCCTCAACTTGAAACTAGAAGAAAGAACTTGAGGTGTTGCATCAAGTGAACGTTCAGGCCAATCAAATCTACTATCACACTCAGTGCCATAGAAATGTATACTCTTTCCTAGGTTGTTTTCACGAAACGAAGTTGTGTCCAGTGATGCATCTGCCATCATATCCAGCGCAGGAGTATCAACCATATCAACAATTATGTCAGCAGCAGAAGAAGTCCTTAAAACTGGAGATGGTGGAGCACTATAACTCTTGATCTTAGGTTCAGGTTTTTGTGTCCTGTTTAATGTTCTTCGGATGATGGCTTCCCATTTTGGAACTTGTCTTCTATTTTCTGCTCCCAGTACATTTCCAGCACTCAGTGGGACCACCTCTTGGAAGCTGTAACCAGATGCAATTTAGGTTTGAACTCATTTCTGTAATCTAATTTTTCAAATAGATGGATTACACTTGAGCAGCAAATAGAGTTACCCAAGAATATAGATATCTGCAGGTTCTTGCATATGAATCCATTCATCAATGTCTAGATCCTCATCTGGAAGTCTTCCAGCCACATTCCAAGTACCTACTGTAACTCTGCAGAAAATCAGGGCTTATGTAAATCAACTCCAATTTGATTTCAGGTCCCAAAAGAAATGCAAACTAACCTCACATCTTTCTTGTTAATATACTCAACTCTCAACGTTTCTGATTTCCCTCTCCTGTGTCTTGGTTTCCCTGAGCAATACAATTCAGTTTGAGTCTGGCATTCATTAAGCTTCCCCGGTTTTCTATGTCCGTGATCTTCAAGCACCCTTTCATCTTTGAGAGAGCAAGCTGGAATTTCGGAACAAAACAACTAATCAAGCCTAGAACAAACAAACACCAAGAAAAAGATTTTCATGAATAATTTGGATACCATCATCCTCACTCTCCATTTCAGTGTCAACTTCATCTTCACTAAAATCATACACTTTAGGAGCAATATTCAGCCATTTCTTCATCACAATGGAGGGCCAAAAGGCCTGCACCATACAATTGCCTCAGTTTACCATTGAAAGGAAATAAACATAGTCAACAGACCATGAAAAAAATACCTGAGATCTCCTTCCTCTTCTGGCTTTCATTAGCATACCACAAATGAACAAAGGTGAAAAATAAAGGCAGTGTCAATATTTGTTGCCAAGAATGCCAACCGTGGCACAAAGGGTTAGACTGTTTGCAAGTGTTGTTGGAGTTTTATAGTATTTATTTAAGCAGGTTGTCAATGGTCTGAGTTCTTTCCCCGGATGCCAAATACAAATAAAATTCTTAGTAAGAACAAATGGAAACGACAGAAAGTATTAACAGATATATGCTGTACTCAACTTGTATTTAAAAAAAAAAAAGAAAAAAGAAATCTTGAATGGTCCTCATTTGAAAACTGAAGTAAACACAAATTAAAAAAATATATAAAATATTCAGGGAAGTAATTGTCAATCACAAGAAATCTCCAGAAACTAGAACTTGACTAATGCTTGCTCTCCTAATAAGTCGCAAATATAAGCCATTGACACCAATTGTTTAGGACAGATTTTATACTACTAAAATATTCCAAATGCAAATCAGCTGCTTTATTGCATGGTTATAACTACAAGACAAAAGTTACAAAATTCAGAATCATACTGACCATATTTATGGATATATATTTTTTTTTAAAAGATTAGGATCTAGTAAAAGAAAAGGTAGTTGATCTCTTGTTTAAATAAGGCCATATTCTAATCCAATGTTGAGTGATCAAGCTACAGATCTTGGCTCCTCACTGCACCTAGAGCTAAAATTAGCTTGACCAACCAATGATAGTTAAGCTGCCTAC